TTTTGTGAGAAGGAGGAAGACTTTGTGGATTGGTGTCAGACATATGGACTAATGTTGGACTTGTGGACTTGGGCAACACTGGGTTAGGATGTTTTCATGATGTGCACTTACCCAGTATATAAAGCTCTCTCTTATACATATGAGTTTCTGTGGATTTCTTTCTCTAATGTACCCAGACTAACACACTCCCCATCTCCTGTCAACCCTTGCATCAGTTATTATCTCTATGCATCCATTCCTTCTGTGCTTCACAAACTGGGAAACCCCACAAGAACAATAAAGAACACAACCCAAATGAAATATTAAGAAAAAGCATGTGCACTCCTTGACCATAAGCCTTGCTGACAGGGTTCTTGTCTGGTTCCTGTGTCCAGGGCAGAGTCCCATAGGAACAGCGACACAATATCCCATTTACATGCTTCTTAACTCCAACAGACATGTTCAATCACTCATGCGTTAAGGTTTGGAGTCTGTTTCCTTAGAGAAAGGAAGATTCCACTTTTAGCTTCTCGGGGGACACTATGGAGATTATCTGGATCAATTATTTTATCTTGTTGTTGAAACCTTCATGATTACCTCTGGTCCCACCTGCCAACCCTGGTGGGGCTTCTATATTTAGAAGTGAGGGTGGGTTTCGATCTTCGTGTTTTATCAGAGCTGGCTCTGTGTGTGAGGTCACCACAGCATGCAGACTGGCCAGCGGTTAACGATGGCAGAAGGGTGGCATCTGACCTTGTCTGACTTGACTCTAGTTCAACATCCACCCAAAGCCAATTCCTATGAGGCAGAAGTCAGACAAGGCTCCACTTACCAATTCTCACACCAACTGGCCCTCCTCCAGCACTCTACTTCCCTGCCGGGCTCTATCATCCCATCCCATGGCCACACAGAACCCACAGACTGCACTCACCATTATGGGGCCTGTTAGGGAGATTAACAGGGTACAGTTCAGAATCAGAAATGCTCAGAATACAGTTCTTCCAGAAGGACAGCTGCTTCCCAGCCACATCTGCAGGCAGGCCTCTCTGGTTCTTGGCCTCTCATCCTTCCCCGGGCACGGAGAGCTCTGCTGATTCTGCCAGCAAGCCTCAGGCGGAAGGCACCCAGCTCTCCCACTCCACTTGCCTGGCCGCCCCCCTTTCTGTCTGCTGCTCTTTGTTCTTTTGTCTCGGCTGCCTGTACTTTTCTGAGATCCCAGCTCTGACTCCTGGATCAAGGAGGCTCAGCCTGAGCATCTCCAGGTCCAAAGGACACATTCCATCCTGGGTTCTTCTTTATGGACGGCAGTGAGAGCGCCCTTCCTGCTTCTCAGATGGTGCGTTTTAAACCAGGTGGCATGGCAAAACTAACCAATCCTCTTGTTAGAATTCCATACACCTTATTTGCCTAGCCCCCCGCCTCCCCAAGGGTGCCAGGAAACCTTATTTACGTTATTATCCAGCTGTTCCAGGACCTTTGGAAGACCAGAGACCGCTCATATTTGCATCGTTTTTAAAAATTATTTATTTATTCATCATTTTATTGGGGGCTCGTACCAACTCTGATCACCATCCCTCCATACATCCCTAACCAGTCATTTGGTGGGAATTACAATGATGATGGCAAGAAGAGCCTTCTGGTGTAATTCACCACCCTAACTAGCCTTTTGTGGTTAGTCCCTTATGGATGGGCCTGCTCCTTGTCAGTGGATGCTGCCGCCACCTCTGTCTGCCATCGCCAGAGCCCGGTACTTGGTGGATACCCAGGAAATGTGTCCAGAACACATGAATAAACGTATCATTCTATCTCTAGTTACTACTGTTTATGTCCATTTATTAAAATAAGGCAGTGTTTTTTCTTCTCTTCTCTGAACATGTCTTAATCACTTTGAGATCTCAAGTGTCTAACGCATAGTAGGATTTCAGTTACTGTGTGGGCCACTGTGCATTTCATTCCCTTTACCTGAAGCTCTTTATCCTCTTTGACAGGTGTAGGACATCCTTTGTTAAAGGGGTCAGCTAAAATGCTACCTTTACCTTCTTTGGTTACTCCAACTTAAATAGCAAGAACACACACACACACACACACACAGGACCCAGAGGAAAAAGGGAAAGGATCCCTGCCAGGCAGAGTTTCATGATACATATTTGTCCCACTAGGTGAGCATCGAGCAACTCTCTCTGAGTTGGTGCACCCAGTGGCATCACCTAGGAAGGTTCTCTCTGGTCACAGTGAATTTTTTCCTGAAAGCAGTTTCACTCAAACGTCACTTTTTGTGATGGCTGATTTAAGAGAAGAGTGTATGGCTGTGAAATTTGGTCTCCTGCTTGGGAAAAGTGCCACAGAAGCTGTTGTGATGTTGAACACAGCTTACAAGGACCGCGCTATGGGACTCCGGTGTACAAGTGGCTTTCTCGTTTCAAAAAAGGTGAAATGTTGATTGATGACAAGACTCATTCAGGACATCTGTCAACTTCCCAAAGGGATGAAATGTTGACAAAATTCGCACACTTGTCCTCGAGGACCTAGGACAGGATGGGGAAGTTATCTGGACTATCTTGGAGCTCAGTTTAGCAAATTTTAGTAGAAGATT